CTCTGTAAAAAATGGCTGTAATTCCTAAACGGTTAATGCAATATTTTTGTTAAACCCCTTGAATTAAAGCTGAAAGTCTACGCTTCAGTCACATCTTGACTGCTTCATTTTAAATCCACTGTGGTGGTGTACAGAGGCAAAATTACCAAAACTGTGTCACTGTCCCAATATTTATGGACCTGACTGTATATATATATATGCATAGGCGTATATGTACATCAACCCAACAGTGTAGTTAATGTCAGTTTCCCTTCACTAGTCAGTTTCCCTTCACTAGCTATGACTGTTTTGCACAACTATCACCAATCTGAAAGGTAAAGTTCCTCCTCTGAGACACGTAAAGCTACCACATCATTTCAAACTGTTGTTTGCAGCTGAACACACTTGGAGGAGAGTGCTAACTGCTCTATTCTGTACATACGAGCTAACAAATGCTCTGCTAAGACCGATCTGATTGATGGTGAAGCTATCGGTTGAGAGCAAGCTGGAAATCTAGCCACAGATGCCTATGACATCTTGGTTTATGTCTTTATCAGTGTTACAGTAATATTTAGGCTAAAAAAAATAGAGATGCATAGCCAGAGAAGAGAATACATCTGATTATATAAATCATAATGACTGACAGTGCTGTGAAAATCAATCGAAAATGGAATCTACAGTACATGTGTAATTAGATTAATTCATATTCATTATATTCCCTCACTGAAAAGTCCCAGTTTAATTGGATCTCATTTACATAGGCCCTTCTATTCATAAAAAAAAGCGTCACTCTTAATTACACTAATTTGCATCGGTTCTTTCATTCATTAAAAAGAGTCTCACATTAATGTGCTCTCATTTCCTGGTTCTTCAGAAGTCTCCCATATGCCTTAGTGCTTTTTTTATTGCAGTGCTGGACAGATTTTTTTCACTTCACTGTCAGTTTTATATATATATATATATATATATATATATATATATATATATATATATATATATATATATATATATATATTTTTTTACAAATTGACTGACACATTAAATGACGGGTTCTCCTATCGACTCATTAAAATCATATTAAAAATGAATTCCACTGTTTTTTCTGCAATATCAGTATCTTAACCTATGTTAACCCACCTGGTTATAAAAGCAATTTAGAAAAACAATGCAAGTCATTAATACTGGATGACAACAGAAAGCTAATCTCCAGCTAATTTGGCTGAAACATATACAGTATATTGACATTGATTAAAGTAAATCAAATGGAGTTGGATTAAACTGATTTGTCTACATATGAAGGCCTGGTATATCCTCTGGAGAGTTTCCCAGTAGATAAAATATAATCAGCATTCCAAGCACTATAGACTATAGGTATCCAGGAATCACAAGTCTGAATCCCATCAATACCACAGCCGTCTGGGATTGGGAATCTCCAAGAGCATAACTAGTAGTACTCTCTTCCTCTTAACCTTTCTCCCTCCTGTTACTTAGAGGAACACTAGCCAATTCCAGGAGTTTGTGGGTTCAAGTACTGTATACAGCATAAAGCGGTTAGTGCGCTCCTCCAAACGTGTTCAGCTGCCCTGTAACATTACCTGAAGTTATATGAGCAGCAGTTGGAAAAGATGCAGTGTTAACCCTCACCCTCACACACTACTAGCTGGTAGACAGGGGACAGATTAGTGAGCAGGTTATTGAAGAATAAAATTGAAATAAAATAAAATAAATCACAATAGAATAAATTACAATCCAAAAATCTAATCTCAGTTTGACATAACAAGGCAAAGCCAGGAAGCAGAATGAAGAAACAAGGAAGTATTGTGCAAGGGAACAAGACCTTGAACTGCAC